AGATATCTAGCTTTCCAGGTGTCTGGGTAGAGGTTCAATCTGGTTAGTTACTTGTCAAGAAGGACCCTGAATGTATTGAATTTTCTGCTCCTGCTAGCCATCTGATAGAAGGGTTACATGCTCACATCAACAACAAGAAAATGTACTGTCATGTGTAATGGACTTGAATGCTAGGGCCAGAAATGTCACACAAACCGGTATGATCAGAAACCAGTTCGAATCAGTAACACGACAGAAGTTCAGTGCACGTAAACCATTTTCAGAATGGCCGAAACCGTTTAAGATAAACCTGGAGTCATGTCGTATCAGACTTAACTGATTTAGGTTAAATCAGTTTATTGAGCTTCTGTCCCAGATCCCCTCCAGATTCAAGTTCATAGTCCCCTAGCATCCCAGGATGCTTTGCACCTCCCCTGCACCTCCCTCTACCTCCACAGGGTGAGCAGGTTAGCTGTGGCCCAAGCTGGCTGCTCCAGCCCAGCAGGAAGGCATGCTCTAGCACCCCCTGGCGCCTGGCCTGGGCCACTGCAGGCATGTGGCTGCATTTCCAGATTCAAAAGTGACTGTGTATTCAGTTGCTTATTGGATCAATCTATGCAGCTTAGACTAACCTGCAAAGATTGAATCGATTTAGCTTCAGGCTATCTGACTGTCTGTACTTAGCCAAAAAAATACCCATGTATTCATGAGAGTTACTTTAAAAAGGAAGCAGTCCCATTTCCAGGTATTTTCTCTAGCCCTTTCTAGAGTATTATGAGGCTTTAGCATTAGCTAACTTTCTTGCCGGGCAGACCTGCATGTGGTTATCACATGGTATAACCACACATTATCATGTTGCAATGCAGCATCACAGTGTCACATTGCTTTGACATTTCAGGCTTCTTTATCAGCCTTTTGGTTGTGACTGCAAGAAGCCTGGTTGCCAATTCAAAGTCAGGTTAATTCTAGAAAAATCTGGACAAGCAGCCTCCATATCAGAGAGCGAGTACAGGCAGGACGTGGCATCTCATAAACCCGATAAAGCTCTACCCTGTGAAACAACATCTGAGCAATTTCCTCCTCTTGTTTATTTTCTGTACAGCACGTTATGGGAAAAATGCATCTGTTTTTCACGGCTGCCAATCTCTTAATCTCTTTTTGCTTAGCCCAAGCTTTCCTCTTCTGTGTTTCCATTGTATCCATCTACTGCCACCTTCCCGTCTTCCTGTGTGTTCCTCCGATGCTTGGAACAGCCCCTTTAGCCTGCACAGAGAGGCCTGTTGTTTCTGGATTCATCCGAACTAGCCTCTCAGGATCCTGGATCCTTATCTCTTGCCTACTAAGGCTTCTTCCAGCTGCCCTCTCCAATCCTGGAGAATTTTCCCTCCTGAATGGACTCACCTACACGCTGTAGAAACCTTCAGCAATTTTCCAGATACTAAATCCTCTTTGTTCCCTACTCCCACTGGCTGCAATTCCCTTCCACAGGCCTCCCTGAGTCCTCACTTGTGTGCTCTGGCTCCCTCCTGCCCATCCTTCAAGACTCCTTGGCTATTACCTATGAAAGAGGCTGGGAAAGGAAAGAAAGGGTCTCCCTGATGGTACCTGAAGATTAAAAAGGGGGTCAAATTAGGTGCAGAAGACTTACACTACCCAGCAGCAGTCAACTTACCAGGTATCTGGACCCCACTTGCCTTTGGAATCAGCTCTGGAGGGAGATGAATCCAGCAATGTTACCAGGTTAGTGTATAAATCATGTGTGGTTTGGGGATTTGTCAGATATCCCTAACTAGAAACAAGACTTGTGGGAAGTCTCGCATCAGAAAGCCTGCTTGCATGACTTTCAGTCAAAGGCAGCGGATTCAGGAAGTCTGACAGGTTTTGGATAAGCATAACAAAGGCAGGCGTCTGGGCACGGGCACTAGCAACCGTTTCAGATTCTGGGAGCAGAGTCACGGAGGAACGGACTGAAATTCACAGCTTTCCTGCGTACATCACTTTTGCTTTCGATCAGAAGAACGTAAAAGAAAAAAACCAAACCGTAATCTTTCACAGTCACCGGAGGAATCTCCTCTCTGCTTTTTGGAATCAGTAAATGATCCGTACAAACCAGAAGCAATACATTATTTTTAATGCTCCAGTTCTAGCTCTTCCCACAATGCAGGCAGAGCAGCAGGTTATGTTCTCAGCAGATAAAGTCGTTCTTATTCCCTGTTTATCCCCTTTGCAAAGGGAAAGCTCCGTTCCCTACAGATTTCCCATGCTCTGGGAGCTGCGGCATGTGCAATCTGCAGCCAGTACGGCTGATTTCCCTACTTCAAATCTAGCTCTTGGGTGTCAAGCATGATTACAGTCCCGCTGTGCTGAAATACTCAGCTGGCTCGTAAGCGCTTTGCCGGAGAACACAGCATTTCTTTCAGAGGATATTTTTCCCCGAGGTTGCACACGCCCTCTGCTGGAACCAGTGAACACACTCGCTTTGAACGAGCCCAAGAAACAATGGAGCTTGATCTGAAGAAGCAGGCATCCTCAGCATCCCTCCTTGCAGTGACAGGCAGAAACAGGCTGTTTCTTGGCCCCGGCAGTAAGCTAGTCAGACCAATACCAAAGATCCCATATTGTTTGCACGTGTTTCACTTGGTAAAGCATGCCCTTTATGATACAGCTGCAGTTCAAATCAGCACCCGGGGCAGCAGAAAGCGGAGAAGGGCTTTCCTTGGACTATGGGTGGAGGGGAACCCACCTTCTTTCAGCAGACAAGGCCCTTACTGAGCAGGCAGATTTCAGCATGGCTGAACTGCTGCTGCTGCTGCAGCTGTTGCTCTTTGTTTGCCTTCTGCTATCGTGTCATCGCTGATGACACCAATTGGCAGCAGGGGCAGAGGGAGAGAAATCAGTTCTTTCCGCATTGGCAACAGACCAGACGTTCAGATATGAACATGAGGTTTTTGCATTTTGTATACGAACGTGAGATTTTTGTATTTGCACTGATAGGAACCCAAAAGTGTTGATGGTTTGAGACATGTGAATGATGGTTTGAGACACCTGAATGTGAGAGACAAGAAACGTTTCATAATTCTGGGAATTACGGGCGTAGCTGGAATGATGTGCACAGCTCGGGCTCTGTAGATGTCCCACTGTCTTTAAAAACACACAGACGCAGTATACCGGAGTGAAGCTGGCTGCAGGTCAGGAAGGAGAAGAAGGGCTATGATTTAAAATGACAGTCTTAAGAAAAGCTACGATATAATTTCAGAACCAAAATGGTTTGCATTTTCCCAGTTTTAGTTTCTCACACAGCAAGAGACTGAGAAAGAGCAGCCAGCCTTATAATAAAGAGCACTATGGATTTCAAACTCATCTTGTGCGTGATCATTAATAATTCACGCACATGGTCTAATAAAGTAAGAGAAAAATCAATAGAAGAATCAAACCTATAATTGCTATTTCCTCATATCTTTCATTCCATTTGCCATTTTCTAATTTGAGGTTCACCATAAATTGCTGTCGATGCATTTGTCTTTTTTTCTGTTGCTGTGCCTTTTTCAATTTACAAAAGTGGGGTCTGACACAAAATAGTATTCTCTTCTCCCCCATCCTCCCCCCCGCAAAAAAAAAAGAAAGAAAGAAAGAAAAGAAATGAACTGCTCTTCCTTTATATGGCAGAAATGTTCAATTAACTGTAATCACTGTCCAGTGATCGTATTTGTTTAATATACAATAAAACCTTGCTAATTTCATTGGATGAAATTCTCTAATTTCCACACCAGACAACTATAGTGGCCCTTTTTGGTCTTAAAATTAATTAATCTTAGACCAAGCTCCCTACAGGAGCCCTGTATCTATATGGAGCCCTACTGACTTCTAACTTCATAATCCTTATGGCACCGTTCTGGGCTATAAAAGTGGCACAGACCTAGGAGTAGCTCCAGGAGCAGCTGTCTCAGAAGCCCAGGAATCTCCCACAATAACGTGATTCCAGGATTGGGTTATATTGCATATGCCTTTAAATGAATTAGTTTGGTTTGATGATGATAGCGTAATCCATAATTTCTGACAACACCAGCAAATGTAGGAACTGTTTGAGAGAATAAAGTCTTAGCAATAGGAGCAGTCACTGCATTACTCTGCTTTTAAAACTTCACTGAAAAATAATTAAATAAGACCCGCCTGTACAAAAGGATCTGAGTAATTCTTGCACAAAGTGCCGATCCCTTAATGCAAAACATAGAATGGGTTTTCCTGTATCAGGGACAAGCTCTTAGGAGTCAACAACCTTGTCTTCCCCGCACTCTCCTGTAAGATGATGCAGCAGCACTTCTCACAGCTCTGTGCCCCAGAAAAAAATGCTTCAAGAGCAGTAAAGGGAAAATGAGAGATTCCCAGTGCCTGGGAAAATTACTGAATAATTACTCTATTGTACACTAAAGGAAATATGCTTATGCAAAACTGTGACGTCAGATTTAAATGAATGCATTTGAAGCATCAAAAGTTGAAGTGCCAACAGCACAACTATTGCAACTTGAGCTATGTGTCTCCAGAAGAGCACAAGGGAGAAGCAAGAAAGCTGCTCAAACCATTTGCACGCTGCTCCAGACTGAGCACAGGGGAAGGGATAAGTGCTGTGAGTTATCTCCCTGTTTCACATCTGCCCCCAAGCAGATGGGTGGGAAATGGGCAGAAACCTGGTTCGAGATCCTCCCCTGCTCAGAGCAGCTGAGCCAGTGGGAACAACAGCAATTTGGAGGTGACGTAGACTAATAGCAGAGGACTGTCTTCTGGCGCCTGAGGAGCAGAGAGTGCGCTGCCATGCAGAAGGGTGCCTCCGAGGCACAAGAGCCATACCAAGGTGTGGGCTGCGGGGAAGAGCTGGAAGGATTCAGTTAGCTTTGTAGCCACATGACAGGGACATCAAGCCACAGTGAGGTAGTGAATAGGTGTAGTCCTCAAGATCCCCTTGGCATCGGAGGTACTGAAGCAGATTTTGACAAGATCAAGAGCATTGTGAAAAGGGTAAGGACTAGTACCCTGGAGCATGCGTCTTGCCTAGAAAGTGGGCTGACCTGGGACACAGTGACCAAGAGTCCCAAATTCAGGACAATCTGGAACTTGAGGATTGTGCCTTGATGTTCCTAAAAAGCCGCTGAACAAGACATCTGTCCTGAGCCTGAAAAACTAATCCCAAATCAGGCAACCTCTTCCAGCCCCTGGGTGTTCCCAGGACACCAGGCAGCCTCCTGTTGCATCTGCTGAGAGGATAAAGCATGATGCTTGCTGCCTGTTGCCACGTGGAGGTAGCTATCCTGCTTCCATCACCGGTTGGAGCTGCTCCCTCTGCACCCACAGGCGGTTTACTTAGATTCACACAGCAGCATGCCTGGAGCAAGTAGCAGCACTTCTCTGCACCCCACAGACCCACTGCCCTGCCCAGACCCACAAGTGGTATAAATGGCTTCTGCTTCCATTGCTCACAGGAGCATCTGGACAGGTAGCCCCAAGTTTGCTCCCTGAAAGTTGCCTTCTCTTCACAATCGGCTGCAAGATCACATAATCTTGCTCCTACTAAGGCATTCCCTGAGGGAGACGTGTGTATTTAAGCTTTTAGGGACTATCATTTCCCCCTTGTGCAGCCTTTGCCCTCAAAGAGCAGCAATAATAAACTGAGGTCAAACCTGGAAGCGTAATAAAAAGATCTACTCTGTGCAAATGTAAACCTCTTGCTGTGATATAGGAGCAGAAAAGGAGCCTAAGAAAGAGGCTGGGCTGTTTTCACAGGCCCTGACCTTTACCTGTGGCTGAGATGCCAAAGCACAACTCAGATAAATGATTTCAAATCCCTCTCCTCCCACACTGGGTGCTGGTCTGATCCCAGGTAGTTCAAACTGTGCTGCTGCTAACCACCCTAAAAGTCTATACAAGCACATGGGAAACCCTCCATACCTGCTTTCTCTAGCCAAGTCATCCAAACCTCCACCAGACAGAGCGGGGCGTAGGAACTGCTAAGGCAACTCTGTGCCATCAGTGGGACCCTTTGCACTGAGGTGACCCTTCCCCAGCTACCTATACTGGTCTGGGCACCAGAGTCGTCTTGTAGGCGCTCACCTGCAAACCAGCCATAGCTGCCCATTCATGCCAAGTCCAGCTTTAAGGAGAGACATGATTTACCAAGTTAACAGGATGGCATGACTAATCTGCAAATACTCCCATTTCAGCTATGACCTTTATGGTACAGTGCATTTTCCAGCACCAGGAACTTCTTCAAAAGATATCCTCAAGGATGGGGGCTGTTCATCTGCAAGCTGTTTGGGTGTGACTGCCTCGTAAAAGCTGCATGTTCCAGTACTGCTTTCTGCAAACATCATTAATTACCTGCTCGCCTGCCTATAAAATAATAGCAGATAAACTAAACAAAACTCATTTGCCTTGTCTTCAGGACCAGCTGCAAGATCACATCCCCTTGCTCCTACAATGGGGAGTAAAGTAAGTTGTGTCCCATATTTTCTTTCTACACAGATTTGCTTCTTTCTCTTGGAGCCATATGGTGATAGATTATGCTAGAACTGGGCGGACAGAGGTTTGCAAGAGCTTTATATAGAATGAAAGAATAATGATGCAAAGAGAAATCACCAGACCTCTTGCAGACATCTGTTGCAAATGAAAGAAAATAGGTCTGTGTGGCTATGCGTGTGAATGTATTGCAAGGTATATGTATGGATCTATTTCAAATAACCTTTTATCACTAAACCCCAGCTAGCTAAGAGAGCTTCAATTTGATGCTTTGGTACCAAACACCTGCCACAAATTCTTTGCTATTAATTCATTACACTTGCACAAAATTCCAGCTGGTTTGAGAATGACCCCATTTCTGCACCGGTGTAAAGGATGGCAATAATTACTTAAAGAAAGAATCTTTATTCCTGTCTCATATTTTATCTTTGTGTCTGATCTTACATTGAGAATACAAGCTCTTTGTGACTACTGATACTTATTTGTTCTGTCTTTGTACAATGCCTAAACAGTGGGGTCCTGGTTCATAGGCACTAGGATAATAGACACAATAATATTTGATTCCCTCTGCTCCCCTAAATATTCATTGTATTGGAGCAGAAGTAGTGAGATTATAGAGATGTTTTTGCTGGCATTTTTAGATGATTTTGTGTCCTACTCTTTAACAAACTTTTGGCATATTTTATCAGTAATCAGTGTTTTTCATTTAGTATTACCTACAGTGCCAATGAAGTCAGTTTATAATCAGCTTTTATAAACAAAATTGTACTCATTCTAAACATAACTTTTGTACTGTGTGGAAAAAATGTATGTCCAAATTCAGGCTTTAGCTAATTACACTGCAATCAGAATTTCCCAGATTTCAGCACATCACACGCCTTGTGTCACACTGAGGAAAGTCCTGCATAGGGCTCTCTTGGACTGTAAAATTCCTCTGGCCTGATTTACAGAAGTGCTAAACACCTGCTGTCCTCCTTGACTTCATCTGGATTTGTGGCTGCTCAGCTCCTCTGAAAGCCGCATAGTATATTCTACATAATACGGGATGTAAATACCCATTACCCAATAGTCAGACACTCCACCATCATAGCTATAAAAAGATGAACACTGTTCTCTGCCGTGCACACACATTATTAAAGTGGGATGAATAATTAATTGCAAAACTGGGCAATTTTTTTAATCCAATGCTTATGATGAATAAATGTTTCTTTTACTCAGTATCTCCATAGGTGACTGAATAATATTCTGCAAATAATGATTCATGAAAATGTTGGCATTTTCCCTCTTACATCATTACTTACAAACCAATTTCTTCAATGTTAATGAGGAGGTACCACATAGACTAATAGGCAGACCTGTTCCCCAGGTCAAAGACATCTTAGACCCTGATGTAATGATTTTAATGAGCCGGTGGATCTCTGTGCTTACAAAGAAGAGCTTACATGATTGAGGTCAGCATTGAGCTATAATAAATGAAAAAATACAAAAACAGAGGAAGAAGGGGGAAGAGAGAACAAAACTTGGAGATATAAATTCATTCATTGGCTTACTGATATATCTAGCTGGAGGGTATTTTTTGTTCTAGCGACAGTCATTGCTTTTGTTACTTATTTCTAATCCCTGTCTGCAGTCTTTTCCTTCTTTTAATTAACTGTAATTATTGACTATATTCAATTTTCACTTTTTTCATGCCTTGCCTGTTTGTTAAGTCTTGCCTGCTTTCTACTAGCAATTACTGTACCATCTCCAGCTTGTAACAACATATAGTACGTTTAACTGTCAGTCCCCCCAAAATCCTACTGACTTGTAAATGCTTCTTAAGAGCCAAACCCAAGACATAAGGACCGTTTCTGAGTGGCAATCGTATCCCCCAGTACATTGCAGCGTTCCCTTATATTTTCAGTTCACGATTCAGTTTGCTCCTGTTTCACCTTGATGAAACTGTCCCTCCCATCCAGGGGCTTCATGCCAGTTAAGTCCTATTTAAATTCTCAATGGAGTTTCTATGGGACATACGTGACACAGACTTGTTGCTGGCCTTCTGCATGAGTAAAAAAAGAGGCAAGTCTCAAAACCTCTTTTGAATTACACTGCTGGGTGAGGGGAGATGGTGTTCCTGCATTTTATGGTAAAGGTACTTGTAAGGATAACATACCAATCCAAAATAGACGGTCTGGTAGGAAACTACCACTACAGCTTTCTCAGGATGATGGAGTTTATCATGCTACGGTATGTTAATATTTATGTCTTCATTCTGCTCTTTCCAGGTTTCAGAGATGAAACTTTATCCATTCCTCTGCTTTTGTTTTGCGTTCACACTTATCAAAGCAGCAGAGCGTGAAACTTTAACAAAAAAAGAGGTCTTCGGAAACATTACCAATCGTCTCATGATAAAAGACATAGAGCGTGAAGTTTTAAACATCCCGGAAGGGTATACTTATCCAGGTAATCTCCTTTTCTCGTTTTGGAAAAACAAGTGCCCAGGAAAGCACAATTATGCAGAGGGACTATGTCTACTGGTTACAAAAGAGGAATAAAAGTCAGGAAACTCTGGTTCTATTTCCAACTTTACTGATGACTTTTACATTTTCCATGCCTCCATTTCTTATGCTACATGAATGTGAAACCAACCAGCTTCTGATAAATACTTAGACATTTAATGCACTGGGCAGCAGCTAGTGATGCATGATATAAGTAAAATAACCCTATTATTTGTAGCTACTTTTAAGAGAGATCTGTGCCCTTTTAAATTTCAGTCTGATTCCCAGTGTCAGTTGTGGAGGGAGTGGATTAGTATTTATTAGGCACCTGATCCTGTCCCCTCACTCGTGTGACGGCTGAAATAGGAGCTCTCATGTCAGTAGTAGCTGCCTGCAGGACTGAATCTGGATGGCTGGGATCCACAAAGGTCTTGATTCTTCTGCCATTGAAATCAGTAGCAAAACTCCCACTGACTTCAACAGGAGCAAACATGTCAGAGCAATTTTGTGTCCCACACTAGGTAAATTCCCCACTCACCATAACTATAGGGAAAACCAGATATTTTATCTTCTTTTGTGCCATACTGCTCTAAAACAATACCTAGAGAATGTGCCCAGGGAGCAGGTCATAGTTTCAGTGTTAAATAGCATTTGTTATTAATATGCTACCCTCAGCTGGGATGGAAGATCCCCAGATCAACAGCTCTATCACTTAAGATGAGAACATCTCACGATTAGCAGGTGGTAACCGTGCTTATGGGCCAGATGTTTAAAAGGTATTTGGATGTCTCAAAAATCCCACAAAGCACCTAAATGACTTGGGAAAGGCTCACCTTCTGGGCCTGGCTCCAAACGTCCCACACTAAGCAGCAGTCCTTTGGCAGGTTTTGGAGACAGCCCTGTGTCTTCCTCCGGATTCAGAGGCAGTCTCTCTTGTACTGTACATTGTGCTTGTCATAGGCAAGGGCAGCAGTCAAGCAGCAACAATTACGGCAGGATTGCAAATGTCTGTATAAGTGCAAGTTCTGAGGCTCTAGCCTTTCCCCAAAGTTAGAGAGGGAAAAAGATAGCAGCACTTGGTCTTCCAAATAGTATTCTTCTCCACAGCTGTGGCTGGCAAACTCAAGTGACAATGCTGGCTGTAGTGAAAACTTGTGAGGAGCTTTGCACCTGACTTATACAGTTTTCAAGTGTAGTCACACCTTCCTTGAACAGTGCCAGAAAATTTCCTTGTTGAGCTCACCAGCAAAAAAACCCTGCACTGAATTAGCTGTGCTGCCACTCTTGACAGTTTACGGTGTTTTGGATTTTTCCAGGTATAGTAAGCATTGCCTGGGGGGCATATAGTCAAGAGAAAGTTTTGTTCTTTATCATATTGACTAAATAGAAAGTACCTCAAAATCAG